GGCGTTGGTGGCTCATGCCTTTAATCCCAGCACTGGGGAGGCAGAGGCAGGCAGATCTCTGTGCATCTGAGCCCCCCTCCACCTCCTCACTCTCCCCAACCCCGTCTACAGAGCAAGTTCCAGGAAAGGCTCCAAAGCTACACAGAGAAACCCTGTCTCAGGAAAAAAAAAAAAAAAAAAAGGTAATTGAAAATTGTCCAGAGCTGAGAAGGAAGTTCTGGGTTAGTTCCCATTACCACATTAAACTGGGTATGGTGACACTTGCCTTTCGTCTCAGTGCTTAAGAAGTGGAAGCTGAGAAGAGTGGTCACAGTTCAAGTCTGAGCTACAGAGCAGTTTGAAGGCAGCCTGGGCTATATGAGAGCCTGTCTCTAACAAGACAAAATGATACCAGAAACCAAAATAACAAAGAGATATTCCATATCTTGCCTGTCTTTTTGCTCCTTGGCCTAGTGTCCTTTTATTGTGATCAACTTCTGACCAGGCCTCAGTGGCTAGCAGTACTGGTTGCTCTTCCAGAGTATCAGGATTCGATTCTGAGCACCCACACAAGGCTCCAGAATGCAGTCTTAGGAGATTGAACACCTTCTTCTGGCCTCCATGGGCACCAGGCATACAAATGTTACACAAACATACATACAGGCAAAACACGCAAGAAATAAGTAAGTAAAATTAAAAACAACACTAACAAAAAAGTAGCTTACAGGAGGAAAGAGTTTATTTGTCTCATGTTGCTGGAGTTTTTCTTGTCCCACCAGGTCCTGCCACCACACAGAGACACCATATTAATTATTAAACTGTTGACCAATGCCTAGGGTTTCTTATTGGCTAGCTCTGTCTTAAACATTAACCCATTTCTATTAATCTATGTATTTCTACATGGTCTTATCTTACCAGAGAATACCTGGCATGTCCTATTCTCCTGGTCTCTACATGGCATCTCTTTCCGTGTCTCTCTGCCTATCTTTCCCAGAATTCTCGTCTCCTAGTCCCACCTATCTCCCTGCCTCTATTGGCCAAACGGTGTTTTATTCATCAACCAGTAAAAGAAACATATACAAAAGGACATCCCCCATCAGGGTCACACTCCAGGTATCAGCCCATCACTGAGGGATGTTGAGGCAGGAACCATGGAGGAACACCACTGGCTCATTCGCTGATTTATGTTTAGCTACCTTTCATATAGAACCCTGGACCACCTGCACAGGGAATGGTGCCACCCAAAGTGTGCTGGGCCCTCCTACATTAATCAAGACAGTCCCCCACAGCCATGTCCACAGGACAATCTGATCTAGGCCTGGATCAGATTTTCCTCTCAGATGACTCCAGGCTGTGTGAATTTGAAAAACCTAACAAACATAGTCCTCCACTGCCATTTCACCCCTAAGATGAACCTGTAGGGTTCCAAATTTAGAGAAAAAATTGTTAGGATTCTCAAGAACCCACAGAATATCTTTCTCAGACATTACCATACAGTCCTGTTAACAAATATAAATGGTACTATTAATAATTATAATAGAAATTTAATTCCAAAGGGAAAAATAACTATTGTTTTATAATCTCTAGAATTGTTTGTTCTTGCTTTTGGGGTTTGGGGGTTTTGTGTTTTGCTGGGATTTTTTGTTTTCCATTGGGGATTTTGTTGTTTTGGTTTGAGACAGCCTGGCCTGGCTGGCCTGGAATTCAATACATAAGATCAGGATGGCAATGAACTTGAGTCAATCCTCCTGCCTTAAATTCCTGAGTGTTGTCATTACAAAAGCATGACACCATACCTGGCTTTTATTGTTATTATTAATTATTTATTGGGTTTTGTTTTCTTGGGGTTTTGGTTTTTTTTTTTTTTTTTTTTTGTGTTTTTTTTGGGGGGTTTTTTTTTTTTTTTTTTTTTGATTGTTTGTCTTTGAGACAGAGTTTCTCTGTGTAGTCCTGGCTGTCCTGGAACTCACTCTGTAGACCAGACTGGCCTGGAATTCAGAGATCAGCCTGCCTCTGCCTCCCAAGTGTTGGGATTAAATGAGTGTGCCACCATACCAGCTTTAAGATTTTTAACCAAATTTAATTTTTTTTACAAAGATGATATAAATGACCAATAAAAGACTGGGTGTGGTGGACTGGGTGTGGTGGTGTACACCTGTTGAACCCAGCACTTAGGAGCCTAAGGTAGGAGGATTGTCACAATTTCAGGCCAGCCAGGGCTATGGATAAGACTCTCAAAAATGAAAGAGGCCAGGCCGTGGTGGTGAACACCTGTGAGACAGAGGTAGGAAGAGCTTTGTGAGTTCGAGGCCAGCCTGGTCTACAAATTGAGTTCCAGGACAGCCAGAGCTACACAGAGAAACCCTGTCTTGAAAAACAAGAAAGAAAGAAAGAAAGGAAGGAAGGAAGGAAGGAAGGAAGGAAGGAGAAAAAGAAATGATAAGAAAAGAAAACAGGAAGAAATAAAAGAGCTGGAGACATAGCTCAGTTTCTCTGGGTCCCTTGTCCAGTACTGCATTAAACTGAAACTGAGGACTGGCCACATGGGCTAAAGGGCTTGCTGTGTACCCCTGAAAACTGAGTTTGGTCCCCAGAACACAGTGGAACGAGAGAACTGATTCCCAGAAATTGTCCTCTGATCTCCACCTGCATGTCTTCCCTCCCCCCACACACACACACCACACACACACAGCGCACACGTGCACACATATACACACACAACACACATACACACCACACACAAGCATGCACACACATGCACACATGCACATGCGCACACACACATATACACACACAACACACACGAGCATACACACACATACACACACATGTGCACACACACATACACACACGTGCGCGCACACGAACACGCACACACAATAATAAAATTTTTTTTTAATGTGCATGATGGTACACACTTGTAATCCCAGCATTCAAGCACTCAGGAAGGAGGAAGAAGCAGGAGGATCAGAAATTCTGGATAATTCTTTGTTATGTAGAAAGTTTGAGGCCAGGCTGGGAAACATAAGACCCTACCCCCACCACCACCCCCAAAAAAAGGAGGAGGAAAGAAAAAAGGGAGGATACTGTGGGGATAGCTCCGTGGTAGTGTACTTGACTAGCGTGCCTGAGGCCCTGTGTTTTGACCCCCAGTAGCACGGAAAAGAAGAGGGCTAATTGGTTTTCCCCAATCACAACTGGGCCCACAACCTGGATGTCCTTGCCCACTACTTATGGGCCTCCACTGCTCTGAAATCCCCTCTTTAAGGAACAAGGAAAGATGAGAAACCATCTTGAAACAGCTACAGAGTAACAGGTACTTCTTAGGTAGGTCCTGCCCTGTGCTCAGACTGAGAGGCCAGATTTGTGTGAACCATGGGACTCAGGATAATTGAATAAAGAACTGATGAAAGTTTGCGGAGGGGGCGCAGTATTTGGTATTTGTTTGTTGTTATGAGACGGGGTTTGTTTCTCTGTGTGTAGCCCTAGCTATCCTAGAACTCCCTCTGTAGACCAGGCTGGTCTAGAACTCAGAGATCCGCCTGTCTCTGCCTCCCGAGTGCTGAGATTAAAGGCAAGCACCACCACTGCCTGGCCAGACTTCAAGTTTGATGGATGACAGATTGGGTATGTTTTTCTTAGGATCTTTACCCATCATCTGGGAGTACCTGGACTCTGAGCACACATCCATGGCAACCATCATCCTATACAAGGTGCCTTACTCAGGGCACTTGGATTTCACCCATTGATTCTTATCATGAACACAAACTGTAACCCATTAGGTGATGCCCTGTGCATTCATTCTGCCACCATCAATATGCACAGTCATCCTGGGACAAACTGGCCTTTCCGAGATCCTCATCTGGATGGGAGCAGAACCCTGGCTGAGCTGCTGTGGTCACCATAACTATAGTAACTACCCCAGTGAAGCCACTTCTATGACCTGCCTATGATACCACACTGTGTTCACATCTCACTGCTCTCAGAACCCAGGAGAAGGACTCACATTTGGTGAGAAGATAAACTCTTCTTGTTTACTTTAATGCATTGTGATGGCTAATCTGTTGTCAACTTGACTGCACCCGGAATTAATGAAAATGGAAGCAGTTAGACACATCTGTGAGGGGTTTTTCTTGATTGGCTAATTTGAGGCGGAAAGACCCACCCTAAATCTGAATTATTTGAGCTTAGAAGAACCACCATAAGCCTGGGCCACACTTTCTGGTGGCAGCCCAAGTTAAAGGACCTGGAAGAAGGAAGCTTTTGTCTTTTGCCTGCTTGCCCTCACCCTCCCTGGCAAGTTCATCTATCCTGATGCTGAGGCCTTCCTTCACTGGTGTTAGAACCTACTTCTTGGGGATGGATTCTAACATAGACCAAAGATCAGTTGAGCCATCTAGCCTCATGGACTGAATAACTACCTGACTGTTGTTACCCTTTCTGTAGGGAGAGAGTTATTGTTGGAATTAGGGAGACACAGCCTGTGGGCCACTCTAATAAACTCCCTTTTAATTTAGATTGATTCAATCTGTTGTGCTCCTCTAGAAAACCCTGGCTAATACAGGCATCTGAGGTTTGCTTGATTTTATGGCCTAGATTTTTCTGTGGAAGAAAAACATGGTAAAGCTGAGATGAGGGTCTGTGTGCTTCAGCTGGCCAAAATAAGACAAGCAAACTGAAGCTGACTGTGGACAAGGACAGCGCTGGACAGCAGGCCTTGTCCTGAGACGCAAACTAGAATGTGGCTGGAACTGAGAGCACAAAGCTAACAGGAAAGGACACAGGCTGTGTCAGGACACACTTCCACACACCCAAAGCCAGGATGATGCTGACTGTCAGCCCTCAAACTGGCCCATTCCCGGCCCCCCTTCCCTGCCTGCCAGCTGCCAACAGAGCTAGCTCTGCCCTGTGTCTACCACACCTGTCACTGCCTATCCTAGTCCGTGGGGGGGGGGGGAGCGGGTATTAGCCCCTCCTCAGCCTCCCAGCAGAGCAGGCAGTTAGTGGGGAGGGGAGGGAACATGGAGCGGGGGCCGATGGTGGGGGCAGGGCTGGGGGCCAGGGCCCGAGTCCGAGCACTGCTGGGGTGCCTGGTCAAGGTGCTACTCTGGGTGGCCTCTGCCTTACTGTACTTTGGAAGTGAACAAGCTGCCCGCCTTCTAGGCAGCCCCTGCTTACGGCGCCTCTACCATGCTTGGTTGGCAGCAGTGGTCATCTTTGGGCCCCTTCTGCAGTTTCATGTTAACTCTCGGACGATCTTCGCTAGCCACGGCAACTTCTTCAACATGTGAGTCCACCAGAGTCCATGGGCGCTGCCTCCCTACACTCAGGGATCCCACCTTCCTTCTCCAGGCCTCTCTGTTCTGTTGCCAGTCGGAACACTAAAAATAGACGAGGAGGTTGAGAAGGTCAGGGGGAGAGAAGGGGGGAGAGGGACAGAGCCTTGGGGTGCAAGGAAAGTAAAAGAACTGAGAGGAAGTGTGGGCCCTAGAATGTCCAGTGGTCCTCTAAGGAGACAGTGTTGAAATGGTAGGGGTTGAAAAGAGAACTAATGACTGTGTGTGGAACGTAGATCAGGGATATCAAATAGCTTTCCCTCTTTCTACCCACAGAAAGTTTGTGAACTCAGCTTGGGGCTGGACATGTACCTTCCTGGGGGGCTTTGTGCTGCTGGTGGTGTTCCTGGCTACAAGACGTGTAGCAGTGACTGCCAGGCACCTGAGCCGACTGGTCGTGGGGGCAGCTGTCTGGCGAGGGGCCGGACGGGCCTTCCTACTCATCGAGGACCTGACTGGTTCTTGCTTCGAGCCTCTGCCCCAGGGCCTACTGCTTCATGAGCTGCCTGACCGCCGGAGCTGCCTGGCAGCCGGCCACCAATGGCGAGGTTACACTGTCTCCTCCCACACCTTCCTCCTCACCTTCTGCTGCCTCCTCATGGCTGAGGAAGCAGCTGTGTTTGCCAAGTACCTGGCCCACGGGCTACCAGCTGGGGCCCCCCTGCGCCTTGTTTTCCTACTCAATGTGCTGTTGCTGGGCCTCTGGAACTTCTTGCTGCTCTGCACTGTCATCTATTTCCATCAATACACCCACAAGGTGGTGGGTGCTGCAGTAGGCACGTTTGCCTGGTACCTTACCTATGGCAGCTGGTACCACCAACCCTGGTCTCCTGGGATCCCAGGCCATGGGCTCTTCCCCCGATCCCGCTCAATCCGAAAACATAACTGAAAGAAATAAAAACATACCAGCCTGGCTCTGGCTCTTCTTGTTCTGTTCATGCCTAGAGAGGGTGGGAAGGGTAAGAGAATAGTCTGGAAGATGCTCGAGTTCCTTCCTCATTCAAATCGTTGACCTTGAATGTGTTTTCCCTTATGGGCCTTCCATCCTTTGGGTTTCCTGGTCTGCAGACTTCTGGCTTTCTGAAGCTGTGATGTCAAAGGATGGTACTACAGAAGCTGGCAATTGCCCTTAGTGTGTACATCAGCTTTCCCTCGGCAGATGCTTCATCTTCAACCTAGTTACTTAGCTTTTTCCTGCCTTCATCACAGACTCTTGATTTACTTAGGAGCCCACCTATCTGGGCAACTCATGCCAGGACCTTTCTTACCTCTATCTCATAAGGATGGCACAGTCATTCATTTCACAAAGGTGAGTTGAGCCAAGCATGTGAACAAGACAAACAAGGCTTCTGTTGCTTGGAAGCAGATGAGCTCTGGAGGAAGAAAAAGAGAGACAACACAAATAGCAAATGCTTGCATGGTACTTGCCCACGTCAGGCACTGTTCTAAGAGTACATACATTATTTATATAAATCAATACACTTAGAGGCTATGGGGATGGTTCGGTGGGTAAAGCACTGCTGTGCAAGCATAAGGACTGGTATTTGGATATCCAGAGCCAGATAATAAGCTGGGCATGGCAGCATGGATCTGTTATCCCAGCGCAGCAGAGGTGGAAGCAGGAAAATTCCTGGAGCTTGCTAACCAGCTACTCTAACCTAGGGACGAGCCCCAGGTTTAGTATGAGACCCTTTTTCTTTTCCTTTTTTTTTTTTTTGAGCCCCTTTTCAATAAATAAGGAGAGGGGAAAGAGTGAGGAAGACTCCATTCACCTCTGGCTTCCATGGACTCATGCGTGTGCACGTACACACATAATTTTTAATCCCCACAACATCCCAGCGAGATAAATTCAGTAGTGTTCCTATTATTCAGTTGTGAAATTTTTATTATTTTTTATGTATATGTGTGTTTTTACTGTATGTGTGTCTGTATACCTTGTGTGTACAGAACCTGTTGAGGCCAGAAGAAGGCATTGAACCCTCCGGAACTGGAGTTACAGGCAGTTGTGAGCTGCCATGTGGGTACTGAGAACTGATTAGAGGACCTCTGGAAGAGCAGCCAGTTCTCTTAACCACTGAGCCACCTCCCAATCTCCAGAAATTTTTGTTTTTCGACACAGGGTTTCTCTGTGTAGCCCTGGCTGTCCTGGAATTCGCTCTGTAGACCAGGCTGGCCTCGAACTCAGAGATCCGCCTGCCTCTGCCTCCCCAGTGCTGGGATTAAAGGCATGTGCCACTACTGCCCAGCTCCAAACCTGGCCCTCTCTCTCATCTCTGTCTCTCTGTCTGTCTCTGTCTCTGTCTCTGTCTCTCTCTCTGTGTGTGTGTGTGTGTGTGGGTGGGTGTGTGTGTGTGGTTTTTAGAGACAGGGTTGCTCTATGTAGCTTTGGAGTCTGTCCTGGTATTTGCTCTGCAGACCCAGATGGCCTCGAACTCAGAGATACGTCTGCCTTTGCCTCCCGAGTACTGGGATTAAAGGCCTGCGACACCCCTGCCCCACCCAAGCCTGGCTTTTTTGTTCAACACTTAAAAGGTAAAAGTATTTCTTGAGTGTGAAAATTACATGAAACAAGTTGTTTTATTGAAACTCACCCACAGGAATTTATTTTGTGGGCTGCTTGCCTCTCGAAGTAGTATAGTTGAGATGCTACAGACATGGTACCACTTCCCAAACCTAAATAGCTATCACCAACCCCTGACAGAAAGTTTGTCTGCCCCTGGTTAAAGGAAAAGTGCCTCATGTCACAGTCACAGGTGCTGAGGAGGCACTGAAACAGGATGAGGTAATAAACTGGGCAAGGGAGGTACTTTCTGAAGGATGGTGGAAAATTCTCTCTGAAAAATTGACATCCGAACTGAGTGCGGACATTGAGGGAAGAGTGTTGTAGGTTTCCCAAGGGCAGAGTCCTTGAAGTCGGAATAAACACTAAGTAGCTACAAGCATTTTCTTGTGTAATGGATGAGTCTGGAAAGCAATAGACCGTCAACTTGGAGGGGGCAGGTGATTATGAAAGAAAGGTCTTTGGATTTTATCATACAGGCCTGAATCCCTGCTGTGGGGGAATGATCCACAGGGCAACAGAGTGTGCCACAATGGCTTTGTGCGGAGCTTGGATAAGGATAGTGCCAGCTCTCGGTGCTGGGCCTGGAGTATGCTTAAGTCAGGGGACCACGCCGGCATGGAGAAGAAAGACCAGGTCTTGCTCCAAATCAGAAAAGATTTAAAACCCCCAAGTAAGGCTTATTATTGCCCTGGCCCTAGCAGAAGTAGGGGGTGCCCGGAAATGGAAGGCGGGGTGGGAAGGGGCAGAGGTACGGGCGCTGGCAGGCGGGCTTTGGGAGGCGGGCCTGGCAGGCGAGGGGAGAGACCCGAGCGCTGGGCGGAAACGCTACTCGGGCTGCCGGGGGAGCCCCCGCCTCTCAGTAGGCTGTCCCCGCCTCCTGCAGTCCCTCCACTCCCCAAACCCAGGAAGGCCGTGCAGGTTCCGAGCTCTGCTTTCGCTTTCCCTTCCCGCTGCCCACTCCAGGCTCCTCGTGCGGCGCTCAGCCACCCCCCCCCCCCCCTCCGACCATGGCCACCCTGAGGGTCCATCCTGAAGCCCAAGCCAAGGTGAGCGCTGCGGGTCCGAGTGGCTCCAAGAGGCATTAGAGAGGCGTGGCTCGGAGCGGACCCGGATTCCGGGGATCCGCTCCTAGTCCTGCATTTGAGTCGGGGGTCTGCTCCCTAAGCCTGCTGCCAGAAGCACCTGCTTCACTGGGGGTAGGTGAGGCGGCTGTGGTTCAGTGGGGTGAAATGAAGCCGAGGGCTAGTGTGAAGTCTGCTGGCTTGCGGCCCGGGCTACACACAGACGGAGAGAGGGACTTACCCCCCCCTCCTCGAGCTCTTTGACTCAGGAAGGGCACACGCCTGCACCCTGCCTCTGCCCACAGGCTGAGTGTTTTAAGACAGGGTCTCTCTGTTATATAGCCCTGGGCTCGAATTCACAGAGAACCACATGACTTTACCTCCCTAGTGCTGGGATTAAAGGCAGGCATGCGATACCACTCCCGGCCAGAGGGCTTTTTTATTTCCTTGCACAATCCTGGTGACCCCGGGAATCTTCTCCCTAAATCCAGTGATCCACTTGGGGATCCACTGAACTCTTCCCCAGAGAGTTTCAGGTGTGCTGAAAACTACAACACCTCAGGCCACCCTATAGAGGGACCCATCTCGCTTTCTTCAAATGTGGCCTTAGAGGGATCCACTCTATTCCCCAGGTCAGGCCCTACACAACCCAAAGGGAATTGTCCTCAAATGAACTGGCCTTAAAAGCTAGGTATCTGAAGGGTTGCCTGTACCCTACAGGTGGATGTGTTTCGGGAAGACCTGTGTAGCAAGGTAAGACCTACTCATCGGCAACCCCACCTCCAACCAGCTGCTGCTGTTCAGCCTTCCCTTGCTGGGCAGTGTGAGCCCTTACTTCACTGCCTAGGAAAGGGTGTTTGATTATGACCCCATCCTCCTCCACCACCTCACACAGACAGAGAACCTGCTTGGGAGCTATTTTCCCAAGAAGATCTCAGAGCTGGATGCATTCCTAAAGGTACAGGGGCCCTTGCAAGTACTCAAGAGGAGCCTGGGGGTGGGGGTGTGGTAAGATAAGAGGAACACCCTCATCTCCAGCCCTACCATTAGGAGCCAGCTCTCAATGAAGCCAACCTGAGCAATCTGAAGGCTCCACTGGACATCCCAATACCTGATCCAGTCAAGGAGAAAGAGAAGGAGGAGCGGAAGAAACAACAGGAGGTAAGCTGGGAGGACTGGGAGGTGGGCCAACAGTAGAGAAAACCAGCCTCAGTCCTGTCTTCCTCCCCACAGAAAGAAGAGAAGGATGAGAAGAAAAAAGGGGAAGATGAAGACAAAGGTATTTGAAACTTGGGAAGAGACAGGCTTGTGTCTCCTAACTTCCGAGTTGCACTGTGCACACTCCCCTTTCCAGCTCTCCCAAGTTCAGTCACTAACTGACCCATTGCACACTGCCTAGGTCCTCCCTGTGGCCCAGTGAACTGCAATGAAAAAATCGTGGCCCTCCTGCAGCGCCTAAAGCCTGAGATCAAGGATGTCATTGAGCAACTCAATCTGGTGAGTTTCACTTTCATCCCTCAGGCTTTGTCCTCTTGGTGTCTGCCAGTTAGGACAGTGATTGCACATAGGAGAGGGAAGAGCAAAGGAGCTCCAAAGGGGCCCTTGCAAGTACTCAAGAGGAGCCTGGGGGTGAGGGTGTGGTAAGATAAGAGGAACACCCTCATCTCCAGCCCTACCATTAGGAGCCAGCTCTCAATGAAGCCAACCTGAGCAATCTGAAGGCTCCATTGGACATCCCAATACCTGATCCCAATACCCAATACCCAATACCTGATGTTGAGCCTTGGGCTCAACATGGATCTGGCATTCCCCTGTTCACTGTGGGCAGTCAAGGGAAGAATAGGAACCTGGGACTTAGGGTGTGTGGAGGGGAGGGAAGGAGACAGTGGTAAAACCCTGATACCTTCCTTTGCTCCAAGGTCACTACTTGGTTGCAACTACAGATACCTCGGATAGAGGATGGAAATAATTTTGGAGTGGCTGTCCAGGTAAGAGCACTGCCCCCTCAATCTACAGCCCTCCTGTGTAACCCGTGCTCCCTTCTAACTCACCACTTTCTTTCCCAGGAGAAGGTGTTTGAGCTGATGACCAGCCTTCATACCAAGCTGGAGGGCTTCCACACTCAAATCTCTAAGTGAGTTGCCTGGCCACTACACCCCTAGCACACTCTGCCTTTGGGGACAGGCCTGGGCTCCTTCCTTTTTCCCCCCACTCCATACAGACTACTTCTGCTTCCCACAGGTACTTCTCAGAGAGGGGTGATGCGGTGACCAAAGCAGCCAAGCAGCCCCACGTGGTAGGTGAGGCCCAGGTCAGGTTTTGCTGGGGAAGACACATTTCAAGCCAGGACTAACCCTGAGTTTCTGCAGGGTGATTATCGGCAGCTGGTGCACGAGCTGGATGAGGCAGAGTACCAGGACATCCGGCTGATGGTCATGGAGATCCGTGGGTGAGTGGGGGGGGGGGGGGGGGGGGGGGGGGGGGGGGGGGGGGAGGATGAGAACTTCAGCCTTTCCAAAGCTAGAAATGGGACACAGAACCACTGGGGGCCTGTGGCTGACCTCCACTACTCCATGTTCCTATAGGCTGTGTTATATGACATCATCCTAAAGAATTTCGAGAAGCTCAAGAAACCCCGTGGAGAAACTAAGGGAATGATTTATTGAGCCTCCTCTCTTATTCTGTGATGGGTACAGCAGAGACCTTCCTGCTCTTTACCAGGAACTATATAGACTGTACCCAATCTTCTTCCTGCTGGGGTTTTTCCCTTGCTCTGCCTCCCAAACACAATAAATATATGGTTGTCCGACAGCCCATCTCTTTATTGTACTCTGACCCTCTGGTTCAGGCATTCCCACTGGTGGGACCACCCCACTGGGTGATTTGAGTGTTAAGCTGCTGGTTGGTCCAGTCCTGCCGAATGTCATCAAGATGGCAGTCAAAGTCTACAAGGTGACGGTGGGCCTGGCCCTCCAGCAGTGCTCCCACCATCTCTCTCGACTCTTCCCAGTCTCTCCACATTACTCTGAAATTAAAACAAAACGCGAAGGTCAAACAGTGGTGCCAGACTTAAAAGACTAAAGAAGCCATGGGGCAGGACCAAGACAAAGGAGGCCTGGGGAGTCTTGGACTTCCAAGAAGAGATAGAGGTAGTGGGGCACTCACAAGTTCTTGTCCTTAGGCACCCATCGAAGACCTTGGTTCTCCAGGACAATGACTGGAGGTACACGAGGCCGAGTCACCAATTTCTTATTATCCAGCTGGGTGGACAAGGGGTGGGAGTTTTAGGATGCTCTCCCCACTTCCTCTCCACCTCCCCACTCTAAAGCCCCAGCCTCACCATAATAAGCACTGCATCAGGGAAGAATTCTGCAATTCGCCCAGCGATTTTCAAGGCCAGAAGCCCAGGGCTGTGTAGGGGGAAGATCAGAGGAGTGAGGAGCCAACTGAGGGCAGACCCAGGTCTCCCAGGCCTCCTAGAGGTGCACACAGCTGTAGCCTTTCCCTGCAGCTGGCCTGGGAGTGTCGGGCCTGCTTGACGTACGATGGCTTGATGCTTGAATGCTGTGAGAAACAGGTGCTCAGATTCTGCTGATGAGAGTGGCAATCTAAAGTAGACTTTGGGGAAGGTAATTTGCTTTAATCATACAAATTAAAACCAAGAGGGCTGGAGCAATGGCTCAGTGGTTAAGAGTACTAGCTACTCTTCCAGAGGATTCGGGTTCGAATCTTAGCACCCACATGGCCACTTACAACCAGTCCCAGGAGATTCAACGTCCTCTTCTGGCCTCTGGGAGCATTGCATACATGTGGTATATATACAGTAGGGCAAACCAGAAAAATAAATAATATACTGGGTGTGAAGATAGGGACCAGCAAAAGTGGGGAAGAGGAACAGGGTAGGGTACTGGGGGAAGGACAATTAAGAATAAAATATGGGGCTGAGTGATGGTGGTGCAGCACTCACCCTCTTTAATCCCAGCACTTGGGAGGCAGAGGCAGTCGGATCTCAGTGAGTTCAAGGCCACCCTGGTCTACAAAGTGACTTCCAGGACAACCAGGACTGTTACACAGGGAAATCCTGTCTGGGGGGGGAGGGACAAAAAAGAATAAGATATGGGGCTGGAGAGATGGTTCAGAGGTTAAGAGCACTGACTGCTCTTCCAGAAGACCCAGGTTCAATTTCCAGAACCCACATGGCAGCTCACAACCTTCTGTAACTCCAGTTCTAGGAGATCCAGCACCCTTACACAGACATGCATGCAGGCAAAACACCAATGTACACAAAAATAAATTAGTAAAATTAAAGGAATAAAATATGATCTGGGTGGTGCATGCCTTTAACCCCAGCAATGGGGAGGCAGAGGCAGGTGGATCTCCGTGAGTTAAAGGCCAGCCTGGTCTACAGAGCTAGTTCCAGTACAGGCTCCAAGGCTACATCGAAAAACTTGGTCTTGAAAAACCAAAAAACCAACAAAAAACCCACCCACCCCCCAAAAAAGCCCGTGTTAAAAAAACAAACAAAAAACTACGTGAGAAAATGCCACAGTGGACCCAATTACTTTATATGCTAACTTACGATAATGTAGGTAGTCCCTAGGAGCCACCATGAGTTTTAGCTGGGTCTGCCCAACTCTCTGAGGCCCGAGTCAGAAAGATAAAACTTTTTTTTCCCCATTTCTTTCGGATGCTGGCCAGAACCTAAGTGTGATTTTTCTGATACTTTGGGCTTCCTTTCTCTTTCTCTACAGCTCAACATTCCCTGCTTCTCTGTGACGAGTCTGACCTCCATGCTGATTTAAATGGTATGACTTGAAAGCAGTTTGCTTGTTCTGGGTCTTTTCAACTCTAATAAAACTGTCCTTGAGTTTTTAAAATTCTTTTGTTAATAAGACTAGAAACCCCAAGAGGGGACCCCGATTTCCCCCTGTGTCATCTGGCCACCATGATCAAAACAGACCCAAGTGAGATTGCTTGGTGTCCACATATAATGATGGGCCTTCAGAGGTCCTCTCACCTTCTGATTGCATACATACAGCTTCAAGAGATTTCACACAGTTCTAACAACTTGTCAGATGACCTTACAGGACAAATCTGAAGCCCAAAGAGGGGTCAGGGGTGGCTGGACCACACCTTGCTCCCGGCTGCTTAAATATGCATATCCTTGTCCTCTATTTAAACTGCAATCTCTCTTCAAGACCCAGAAGACAGACTTGGAAAGAGTAGCCATGTCTTACTGGGCCTCTTTGTCCTCTTTCAAGTACGGCCATATTAAATATATCTTTTTCTTTTTTCCATTAAAAAAAAAAAAAACTGTTTTTAGTTGGGCATGGTGGTACACACTTTTAACCTCAGCACTCAGGAGTCAGAGGCAGGGGAATCTCTGAGTTCAAGGCCAGCCTGGTCTACAGAGTCAGTTCCAAGACTGCCAAGGCTATGCAGAGAAACCCTGTTTCAAAAAGCAAAAACAAAACAACAACAACAAAAAGACTGGAGATAACTTCAATGTTTATAGCATTAAGTAAATTATGGTATGTCCACATTCATATTATACAGCTGTTAAGATGAGGTAGATCTTGAGATGCAAAGACATCAGAAGTATTAAGTTTGGGGAGGAGAAGCAAATTATAGTAGATCTAACTTAATCCATATTAAATCAAATTTATTTGGTTGTGTAATATATATGTGTAATGTGGTGGTGGGTTTGGGCTTTTTTTTTTTTCTTTTCTTCTCCCCCCCCCCTTTTTTTTTTTTTTTAGTTTTTTGAGGCAGGGTTTTCTGTATATCCCTGTCTTGGATCTCCCTCTGTAGACCTGGAACGCACATGGATTCGCGTCTGTCCCACCCCCACTGCAGTGTGCTTCGACTGTCATATTCATGTCTGGTATATCCTCACCCTAGCAGCCCCGTTGCTAAGCACTTGATAAAAAAATAAAATAAAATAAAAGGAATGACGCTGGTCCACCTGCACGTCACCCACACCAGCCACAATCATCTTCCTTCTAGTCCCTAGCTACCCGACTCACCTCTGGTCGTCTAAGGCAGCATTGGCGTGGTAGTACCCAGCTACCACCAGACCGGCCTGTGCGCCCCACACATCCACCTGTCGTGAGAAAGGGGCCATCCGTAACTAAATCATGCTTCTGGCTCTGTGGGTGCATACTGCGGCCAAGGGTTGAGCATGCATTTAGGCTGAGGGTCCCAAGGGGTTGCGGGGGTCGGTGGGAAGCGATGGGGGTTGGGTTCTCGAAGCCGCACCTGATTGAGCGCGACCTCCAGCATGACGGATAGGGCCAGGTTGCTGTGGAAGAGGGGCACACAGTCGGTGAGGCAGAGGCATTCTCCTGACCGCGGCGCGGGAGCCAGCAACAACCCGTTGACAGCTGCGTATGGGTACCGAGATGCGTGCAGGCACATCTTCCCGTAGGCCCGGGCGGAAATTTCCACCTCCCCCATAGCGAACCGGGCCTGACGGCACGCAGAACCTCAACCAGTGTGGCTTCCCAACCACGGCAACCGAGCTTGGTCTCGATCTGCCTCCTCACTTAGGTATAAGATGCTTCTAACACCAGGCGACGTCTCGCCGCAGCCTGCACCCAACACTATCCAGAATTGGGTCCAAACACAACCCACGGAGCCGAGCCCCGCCTCCTCTAACCACTCCCGGGCAGGCGCATTTGCTGGCAGGCCAGCTTTGGATCATCCCCCAGCCAAGAGTCCCGCCTCCGTAGTGCTCTCTGATAGGGCAAGACGTTCTTATTTAGTCCAATCAAAAATTTAAAAATTTGTCTTGGCTTGCCTTGGCCTAAAGCGACTGGAAAGAACGCGTTAGAGCAAAGGAAAGAAAATTGCCCATAGGCTTATTAGCTAAACTACCCAGTTTATGCTTTGCGTTTTGTTTTGTTTTTTTAAGGAGGGAGGACAAAGTCTCAGCCCAGACTAGCTTCAAACTCACGGACGCTTTTACTTCCATCTCTCAAGGGAAAGCCCTAAATTTACAGAACCCACGCCACCACACCCAGTTACGACTTGTGCCGGTTATTGCAAGTTGGCTTCTCCTGTTTACCTGCTCTGTCTGTTCCTACAGGCTTCGGGCAAAGACAGCTAGGTGAAGGGCTGGCTCTTAGTTGGGTGTTCCTGAGAAACTTGGCTACAAAAACGTTCGCCTTGCTCCAGCTACAGAACGAGTGTGTGGATCTGCACCATAACCAGTAGCCTAATCTTCCCAACCTGAAGCTCCGGCCTTTGGCTTCCTTAACGTAGTGCAGCACCTTTAAGGCAAAGTACAAGTCCATGACCCTTACAGATAAATAATATATGAGCACTGAATCCCGAACTGACAAACTCATAAGAATGCTGCACATTATTTATTATTTTTTATTTTAATTGCATTAGTGTTTTCCCTGCCATGTATGTCTGTGTCAGGGTGTCAGGTTCCTTGGAACTGGAGTTGTGAGCCACTATGTGGGTGCTGGGAATTGAACCCAGGTCCTCTGGAAGAGCAATCAGTGCTCTTAACCGCTGACCCATCTCTCCAGCCCATTCTTTTGACATATTTTAAAACAGGACAAGAACCTGAATTTAAAAATCCCTTGGAGTCTCTAACAAGCCACACAGCAGAGGAACCACTGTATCCACCACCTTAGAAATGAATCTTAAACTGCAATCCCACCACTCAGAGCAAGGAGGCAGGAGGGACAAGAGTTCCAAGTTAGAATCAGCTACATAAGTGTGTTTGAGGCCAGCCTAGCCTATGAAAAAAATTTTCTAAAAACATTCTCAAAAACATGTCAGTCAAGATCCAGCTTCTGTTTCTAACACCCATATCAAGTGGCTCACCACCACCCTCGCACTCCAGCTTCAGGGGATCCAGCACCCTCTTCAGGCCTTTACAGGCATCAGCACACACCAAGAATATATTCAAACAGGCACACACAGAGAGACATATAAATTAAAAACAAAAAACAAAAACAAGAAAAACACCCAAATTCCAACAGATGTAAAGCAGAAATTGATTGGGGGAGTGGACAAGAGATAAAAAGGCAACTCCCCATCCCCATAACGCCCATCAGTGGTGGTGATATATTCTCGTTTAATACCCTTTTTAAAATAATTTGCTTATTGTTAACAATGCATTGGTGTTTGGCCTGCATGAATATCTGTATGAGGATGTCAGATCCCCTAGAACTGAAGTTACAGACAGTTGTAAGCCACAATCTGGGTGTTGGGAATAGAACCCAGGTCCTTTGGAAGAACAGTTAGTGCTCTTAACTGCTAAGCCGTCTCTCCAGACCCCCTTTTTAAGACCTTTCCTCTCTGCCAGCACTGAGAAATCTCAGGATAACCTCATTCTCCCTCCAAGTTTGCTCTCAGCTCAACTGTTTGTAATTCCCACACCATAGCCATAAAGCTTCCCCATCCAAAGCCTAATTCCTCCTCCAATACCTTTTCCCAAATATCCTTTTACCATGAAGCCCCCATGAAATCAGATGGAAATACCTTTGTATATTCCACACTACGGGTTACCTGCATGGCTGACAAGGCATGTAAACTTGTACCCTGTTCCTTTTCAACTTGCTACATAAACCAGGGTGGCCCTGAACTCCAGATCCACTTGCCTCTGCCTCCTAAGTGCTAAGATTAAAGGCGTGCTCACCAGGCCCTGCTCTGCCCAGTTCTTTGGAAGGAACTGTTAAGAACAAAATGGACCTCAAGCTCAACCTCACTTTCCTGGCACCCTCTCCCATTTTCTTTTTTAATTTGTTGTTTTTATTTTACGTGTAAGGGTGATTTAATTGCACACATGTCTGTGCACTTTGTGCATATCCGTGCCTGCAGAGGTGAAAGGAGGAGGGTGTCAGATCCCCTGAAACTGGAGTTACAGTTACTAGCCACTTTGTGGGTGCTGGGAATCTAGCCCGGGTCCTCTGGAAGAACAGCTAGTGCTGTTTTTTTTGTTTTTTGTTTTTTTTTAAACACTGAGCCGTCCTTCTAACCAACCCTCCCCCATTTCCATTACCATACTTGCCTTTCTTTGGTGTACAGACAGAGGAGGCACTCAATAAATAGTCTATGAATGACCAGAGGTAATCTACATAAAGTATAAATCATTTATTCTCCTTCTAATCCTTAGCTCAGTACATAGATGGCTTCTCTTCACCCTTTGGGTTGACAATTTTCTCTAGGTTGTTGCTGATGATATGATAAAGCTCAGCCTGGAAGAAGGCCGGAAGAACAAAATTAGGTTCTTGGTTCCCACACCTTTTCCATCCACTCCCCTCAGGGTCTTGCTGCACACTCACATAGAAGGCCCTCAGGTCCCGCACCATGGCCCTGAGCTCCCCATAGGCGGCTTCATCTCGCTCATGCACCAAGGCGCGATAATCCATCTGGGAAGTAGGAAGCAAATGGGAGTGAGAACCAGGGGAGGTCAGGATGTTAATTTTGTTTTCTCACACAGAGAAGAGATTAACTGAAGATAAGCCCATCTTAGCTCCAACAAACACAGAATTAAGAAAAGGGTCAAGGATGTTGGAGCCCTAATCAGTTTTGCTTTTTGGAATAAAGTTTCCCATATTGTACAAGTCAAAAACAAAAAAAAGAAGCCCTCAATTCCACCCCTGGCCAGCCTCAGCTAAAAGGCTGGTGGCCTATGCACTTACTACATGGGTCTCCTTGGAGGCCTTGGCCACAGCATCCCCACGCTCTGAGAAGTACCTGTAAGAAGGGAGGAATGTGTGTGTTAAAGGAGACGTACAACCACACACCCCACCCCTCAGTCTCCCATCATTCTGACACAACTGCCTAGCTTTGAGACTCCTACAGAAATGTCCCTGTAGGGTCCCTGTGGTCTTGTGGCTGTTCTCACTTGGAAATGGTTGTCTGGAAGGCTTCTACTTTGGTCTTGACAGCATTCACTCTCTCCAGCACCTTCTCCTATAGAGACATGAGAAGCAAAGAAAGTACTTCATCTCCCTCTTTACTATCCCTTCCCCCTCCTACCTCCTATTTATGCCTTGCTCTCATCCCTCACTCCCAAGTCTCTTCCTTCCCTGTCTTCAGTCACCAATTCTTACCTGAATTGCCACCCCAAAATCATTCCCATCCTCAATCTTGGGGATCAGGTGCTGGATCCATGTGATTACCTATGTTAAAAGGAACACTCATACAACAAACCCTCTGGATTCTTATTATGCCACTTAAAAAATTATTTCTTTTTATTATTTTATTTTTTATGTGTATGTGTATTTTGGTTTCATGTATATTTATGCAACACATGCATTTCTGGTGCCCACATAAGCCAAAAAAGGGGAGTCAGATGCCCTGGAACTAGAGTCACAGATCGTTATGAACTGCCATGTGGGTGCTAGGAATTAAACCTGGGTTCTCTGGAAGAATAGCCAGTGCTCTTAACCTCTGAGCCATCTCTCCCTTCCAAAGCAAAGTGGAAGATTCTTTTGTTTGTTGAGACACGGTTTCTCTATGCAGTGTATTGGATGTCTTGGAGGGCCTACATATGGATCCTTCTGCCTCTGTCTCCCTATTATGCTACTTCTTAATAACAGCTATGTCTAACTGAGCACTTATTTCGTGCCCGGTGCCATACTAAAAACTATTGATCTCATCTAATCATTGGCAAACTTTCAAAGCCTATAGTCTTACTGTACCATTTAACACAGGAAACAAGTAAGTCACAGAGTGTCTAAAAGAGCTATACAAATGAGAATCAGGATCTGAACTTCAATTCTTTCAGGGCTCACGCTTTCTATCTGAATCACTGTATCCTATCACCTACACTGTGTACCTGATATGACAGGTTCTGAGAGTACAGAGGTAGTAGCAGAGTCTCTCATTTTTACAGCTACCATTGTGATACCAGACAGATGTCAAACAAATGAGAAAAACAGACTATCTAAACCCAAAGGTAGAGGACAGTGGGTAGAATACTAGCTGTGCACACAGGAACACAGGAGGAATTGTATTCCAATTCTTAGCTTACACATAAAAGCAGGGCACAGCGGAATACACTATATCCCCAGTGTTGGGAGTGATGGTGATACAGGTAGATCCTGGAGCCTCCCTGGTGAGCCAGGATAGCTAAAACAGCAAGTTCCAGGTTCAGTGAAACCATGCCTCAAAAAAACAAAAACAAAAAACTCAAAACCTGCAAATGTTGACCCTACTGTATGGCCTTCAAACATATATATATGCAATGGAAAACACACCTACACATGCTTCTGTGAACATACATACACACACAAAATATATATATATATATATATAATATAAATCCAAGACAGAAAAGCAAGTTTCCTTATTCAAAACTCGGTCTCTGGGTGAAAGATATGAATTGACCATAGCTTTGCCTTGTTTTTCTTCCCACTTCCTCCAGTTCCCAGGCTTACCAGAATGCATTTCTCTTTGAGAGTCCAGACTTCTGGCTTAACTACAGCAAACAGGGCCAGAAGCTTCTCATTCCCAGGGAGAAAACCACACTTAGGGACTACAAAAGAGATGGAGACAGGTTTTTTTGTTACTCCACATCAAGGCACCAGTTTCCCTCCTGGTCACCCAGTCCTCTATTACCTTCTTTCTTCTCCTGCTTGTCTGTTTCCATCTAAGGCAAAAGGGGAAAAGCTGCTTTAGAAAACTCAAGACGGCTACCGTAGTATCATTTCCACCGGCTTATAGTCCAAGCTCTGCACACTGAATGCCTTACCTCATCGTCCTTGGGTGGGGGATCTGGGATGGGGATGTCCAGAGGAGCCCGGAGGGAGGAGAGATCGGCCACATTGAGGAAATCCTCCTGCAGAATTTATTCTCAGGCACTGCCCAGCCTCCTCCCTCACCAGTCACAGACTCCCCTGCTTTCCCTTCCTCTCTCCCTCCTAACCTAGGCTCCAGCTTTATACCAGCCTAAGTTCCCAGCATGCCAATACTAGCTGTCAGAGGACAGGTGGTGGGGAGATGCCAGGCGATGGGGTAGAGGAGTTTGATATTACTCACCTGC